GGGGGGGACCAACTCCATATTAACGCCCATGATTTTGGAATGAGACGTTCGATGAGCAGGTGTCCACATACCTTTCGTCATGTAGTGTACTTTATTGAGGAAAATTGTATTTACTATGACTGTGATATGTGGTTGTCTCACCTAGCTATCTTAAGCTGAATGCACTAACTGTATGTCGCTCTGGATAAGAGTGTCTGCTAAATGATGTAACAATGTAACATATATGTCTTTCCCTCTCTGCTTTCCTCACTACTGAGTTCCTCCAAGCTCTCAATTCAATTCAATACAGTTCAATTAAATTAAATTCAGTTCAATTCAATTCAGTTCAATTAAATTAAATTCAGTTAAACTAAATTCAGTTCAATTCAATTCAAGGGGCTTTATTGGCATGGGAAACATATGTTTACATTGCCAAAGCAAGTGAAATGGATCAACAAATGTGAAATAAACAATAAAAATTGAACAGTAAATATTACACTTACAAAAGTTCCAAAATAATAAAGACATTTCAAATGTCATATTATGTCTATATACAGTGTTGTAACAATGTGCAAATAGTTAAAGGACAAAAGGGAAAATAAATAAACATATAAATAGCATCCTAGTTTGCACAGTTTTTTTGTTAATTCTTTCCAATGTGTCAAGTAATTATCTTTCTGTTTTCACATGATTTTGTTGGGTCTAATTGTGGTGCTGTCCTGGGGCTCTGTGGGGTCTATTTGTGTTTGTGAACAGAGCCCCAGGACCAGCTTGCTTAGGGGACTCTTCTCCAGGTTCTTCTCTCTGTAGGTGATGGCTTTGTTATGGAAGGTTTGGGAATCGCTTCCTTTTAGGTGGTTGTAGAATTTATCGGCTCTTTTCTGGATTTTGATAATTAGCAGGTATCGGCCTAATTCTGCTCTGCATGCATTATTTGGTATTTTACATTGTACACTGAAGATAGTTTTGCAGAATTCTGCATGCAGAGACTCAATTTGGTGTTTGTACAATTTTGTGAATTCTTGGTTGGTGAGCGGACCCCAGAACTCACAACCATAAAGGGCAATAGGTTCTATAACTGATTCAAGTATTTTTTGCCAGATCCTAATTGGTATGTCGAATTTTATGTTCCTTTTGATGGAATAGAAGGCCCTTCTTGCCTTGTCTCTCAGATCGTTCACAGCTTTGTGGAAGTTACCTGTGGCGCTGATGTTTAGGCTGTGGTATGTATAGTTTTTAGTGTGCTCTAGGGCAACGGTGCCTAGATGGAATTTGTATTTGTGGTCCTGGCAACTGGACCTTTTTTGGAACACCATTATTTTTGTCTTACTGAGATATACTGTCAGGGCCCAGGTCTGACAGAATTTGTGCAGAATATCTAGGTACTGCTGTAGGCCCTCCAAGGTTTGGGACAGAAGCACCAGATCACCAGCAAACAGTAAACATTTGACTTCAGATTCTAGTAGGATAAGGCCGGGTGCTGCAGACTGTTCTAGTGCCCTCGCCAATTCGTTGATACATATGTTGAAGAGGGTGGGGCTCAAGCTGCATCCCTGTCTCACCCCACGGCCCTGTGGAAAGAAATGTGTGTTTTTTGCCCATTTTTTCCCACACACTTGTTGTTTGTGTACATGGATTTTATAATGTCGTATGTTTTTCCCCCAACACCTCTTTCCATCAATTTATATAGCAGACCCTCATGCCAAATTGAGACAAAAGCTTTCTAGAAATCAACAAAGCATGAGAAGACTTTGCCTTTGTTTTGTTTTGTTTGATTGTCACCTGCAGGGTGAATACGTGGTCTGTCGTACGGTAATTTGGTAAAAAGCCAATTTGACATTTGTTCAGTACATTGTTTTCACTGAGGAAATGTACGAGTCTGCTGTTAATGATAATGCAGAGGATTTTCCCAAGGTTGCTGTTGACGCATATCCCACGGTAGTTATTGGGGTCAAATTTGTCTCCACTTTTGTGGATTGGGATGATCAGTCCTTGGTTTCAAATATTGGGGAAGATGCCAGAGCTAAGGATGATGTTAAAGAGTTTAAGTATAGCCAATTGGAATTGGTGGTCTGTATATTTGATCACTTCATTGAGGATACCATCAACACCACAGGTCTTTTTGGGTTGGAGGGTTTGTATTTTGTCCTGTAGTTCATTCAATGTAATTGGAGAATCCAGTGGGTTCTGGTAGTCTTTAATAGTTGATTCTAAGATTTGTATTTGATCATGTTTATATATTTTTTTTGTTTGTTCTTTGTTATAGGCCAAAATGATTGGAGAAGTGGTTTAACCATACATCTCCTTTTGGATAGATAACTCTTCATGATGTTGTTGTTTGTTTAGTGTTTTCCAATTTTCCCAGAAGTCTATGGATTCTTCAATTACATTGAGCTGATTCTGACGTGCTGTTCCTTCTTTTTTCCGTAGGGTATTTCTGTATTGTTTTAGTGATTCACCATAGTGAAGGCGTAGGCTCAGGTTGTCTGGGTCTCTATGTTTTTGGTTGGATAGGTTTCTCAATTTCTTTCTTACGTTTTTGCATTCTTCATCAAACCATTTGTCATTGTTGTTTATTTTCTCTGGTTTTCTGTTTGAAATGTTTAGATTTGATCGGGAAGCTGAGAGATCAAATATACTGTTAAGGTTTTCTACTGCCAAGTTTACACCTTCACTATTACAGTGAAACGTTTTGTCCAGGAAGTTGTCTAAAAGGGATTGAATTTGTTGTTGCCTAATTGTTTTTTGGTAGGTTTCCACACTACTTTCCTTCCATCTATAGCATATCTTAATACTATTCAGTTCCTTTGGCTTTGATGCCTCATGATTGAGTATTGCTCTGTTCAAGTAGACTATGATTTTGCTGTGATCTGATAGGGGTGTCAGTGGGCTGACTGTGAACGCTCTGAGAGACTCTGGGTTGAGGTCAGTGATAAAGTAGTCTACAGTGCTACTGCCAAGAGATGAGCTATAGGTGTACCTACCGAAGGAGTCCCCTCGAAGCCTACCATTGACTATGTACATACCCAGCGTGCGACAGAGCTGCAAGAGTTGTGACCCGTTTTTGTTGGTTATGTTGTCATAGTTGTGCCTAGGGGGGCATATGGAGGAGGGAATGCTGTCACCTCCAGGTAGGTGTTTGACCCCTGTGTGCCGAGGGTGTCAGGTTCTTGTCCAGTTCTGGCATTTAGGTCGCCACAGACTAGTACATCCCTCCAGGATGGGGATATAGGTAGCACACAGGAGGACATTTTTCTCTGTTGAGATCATTTCCTTTTTAATTTCTAGCCAAATGTAAAATGTTCCTGTTTTTATTAATTTAATTTAATAGAGTGAGTTAGCAGGTAGCTCTGCTCTACACCAAATTAGCATATCCCCTGAGTCCCTTCCCTGTTTCACACCTGGTAGTTTGGTGGATGGGACTTCCAGCTCTCTGTAACCTAGAGGGCAACCAGTGGGTCCGTCTCCTCTATACCATGTTTATTGTAGGATGACAATGTCTGTATTCCAGGCTCCTGCTCTTTAGGCCAAAGGCAGATGACCTCAGGCCTTGGATATTCCAGGATGAGATAGTGAAGGCTTTGTGTTCCATAAAGTGTCCAATGTTGTTAGTCGTGTGGTTTGGCCTGAGACCAGCAAGTGTGAGCAGAGCCTGCTGAGCATCTGGTACATGCCATTGGCTTGGGCTAGTGTAAGAATGGGGTTTGGGCCTGTTTGCCTGCTCACGGCCTGGGCGTATGTGTGGCTTTCATGTTGAGGCTCTCTTTACGGGAGTGGGAGTCATGGGGTGGGCAGGAGGGGCATAGGTCTGATCTGAGGGGGCCTAAATGGGATGTGGGCATGGTTGACTTGGTTGGGGTGGGGGTGTGAATGTGGCTGGTGGTGCTGTGGTCTGGATGTATTTCTAGAGCCTACTTACTCAACTCTGTCTTGTACCTCCATCTTTCCATCCTTCCATGTAATCTCACTCGGCCTTCCTTTTGAATCCCACATGCAACAAAATAGTCTCCTGTTACTACTTGTATTTTAGCATATTAACATTACATTTACATTATTTAGCAGACGCTCTTATCCAGAGCGACTTACAGTTAGTGAATACATATTTTTAATTTTTTTCATACTGGTCCCCCGTGGGAATCGAACCCACAACCCTGGCGTTGCAAACGCCATGCTCTATCAACTGAGCTACATCCCTGCCGGCCATTCCCTCCCCTACCCTGGACAACGCTGGGCCAATTGTGCGCTGCCCATGAGTCTCCCGGTCGCGGCCGGCTGCGACAGAGCCTGGATTCTAACCAGGATCTCTAGTGGCACAGCTAGCACTGCAATGCAGTGCCTTAGACCACTGCGCCACTCAGGAGTAGCTAGTTCTAGGATATCCTCAGCTTTGTCACTGTAAAATGAATGAACTGATCCATTATTTTAGCTTGCTTTGGTCTGAAGTTCTTGGTCAACTGAAGGTTGACTAAAGGTTCTTCGTCAACATTAGTGTGATATTTCTGACAAGGCAAATTCAATCTGGAACATTCAATATGAATAGGCCACACCAATAGGTCATTGGCTCATTTCTTGCGACAAAACCAGACTATATACTGTACATGTAGGCTAGTGCTAAACGTAGTGTCAAGCTTGGCCATGCCTCTGGCTATTGTTATGCTTTCAGATGTTATATTTGGCTCAGTTATGCTGATCAATGCTGTGATCTATAGTGTGAGCAACATTGGGGTCAAAGCTGAAACACATCGGACTGCCCCAGACCCCTCAGCCCTCTGCTTTATTAAAGCCAGTTCATGCTTACCTAGATTTATTCTGTAATATATTCTAACACCTGCACTTCACTGAGACCTCTCACCTGCAAATAACTATGAATATGTATACCGGACAAGCTAAAAATAACAGTGTAGTGGACTACTGGTGACCAGGGCCCATAGGTATTAAACCAGTATTACAGTGTATTGGAGTGGAATCAGGAGAGATGCTGTGTAATAAGGTATTTTAGTCAGCATGTAGAGTCAGAATTAAGTGACCACCACTAGATAGATGCTAGGACCAGTGACCACCACTAGATAGATGCTAGGACCAGTGACCACCACTAGATAGAGGGGAGGACCAGTGACCACTACTAGATAGAGGGGGGGACCAGTGACCACCACTAGATAGAGAGGAGGACCAGTGACCACCACTAGATAGATGCTAGGACCAGTGACCACCACTAGATAGATGCTAGGACCAGTGACCACCACTAGATAGAGGGGAGGACCAGTGACCACCACTAGATAGAGGGGAGGACCAGTGACCACCACTAGATAGATGCTAGGACCAGTGACCACCACTAGATAGATGCTAGGACCAGTGACCACCCATAGATAGAGGCTAGGACCAGTGACCACCACTAGATAGATGCTAGGACCAGTGACCACCACTAGATAGAGGGGAGGACCAGTGACCACCACTAGATAGATGCTAGGTCCAGTGACCACCACTAGATAGAGGGGAGGACCAGTGACCACCACTAGATAGAGACGAGGACCAGTGACCACCACTAGATAGAGGGGAGGACCAGCGACCACCACTAGATAGAGACGAGGACCAGTGACCACCACTAGATAGAGGGGAGAACCAGTGACCACTACTAGATAGAGAGGAGGACCAGTGACCACCACTAGATAGAGTGGAGGACCAGTGACCACCACTAGATAGAGTGGAGGACCAGTGACCACCACTAGATAGAGAGGGGGACCAGTGACCACCACTTGATAGAGGGGAGGACAAGTGACCAATACTAGATATAGATGAGGACCAGTGACCACCACTAGATAGAGGGGAGGACCAGTGACCACCACTAGATAGAGGGGAGGACCAGTGACCACTACTAGATAGAGTGGAGGACCAGTGACCACTACTAGATAGAGTGGAGGACCAGTGACCACTACTAGATAGAGTGGAGGACCAGTGACCACTACTAGATAGAGACGAGGACCAGTGACCACCAATAGATAGAGGGGAGGACCAGTGACCACTACTAGATAGAGTGGAGGACCAGTGACCACTACTAGATAGAGTGGAGGACCAGTGACCACCACTAGATAGATGCTAGGACCAGTGACCACCACTAGATAGAGAGGAGGACCAGTGACCACCACTAGATAGAGAGGAGGACCAGTGACCACTACTAGATAGAGAGGAGGACCAGTGACCACTACTAGATAGAGAGGAGGGCCAGTGACCACCACTAGATAGAGGGGAAGTCCAGTGACCACCACTACACAGAGGGGAGGACAAGTGACCACTACTAGATAGAGTGGAGGACCAGTGACCACTACTAGATATAGTGGAGGACCAGTGACCACCACTAGATAGAGATGAGGACCAGTGATCACCACTAGATAGAGATGAGGACCAGTGATCACCACTAGATAGATGCTAGGATGATTGACCACCACTAGAGAGATGCTAGGACCAGTGATCACCACTAGATAGATGCTAGGACCAGTTACCACCACTATATACTGTATATGTTAGGACCAGTGACCACCACTAGATAGAGGGCAGGACCAGTGACCACCACTAGATAGACGCTAGGACCAGTGACCGCCATTAGGTAGATGCTAGGAACAGTGACCACCACACGATAGAGAGGATGACGAGTGACCAAATCAGATAGCGGGGAGGACCAGTGACCACCACTAGAAAGAGAGGAGGACCAGTGACAACCACTAGATAGATGCTAGGACCAGTGACCACCACTAGATAGAGCGGAGGACCAGTGACCACCAATAGATAGAGGGGTTGAGCAGGGACCACAACAACATAGATGATAGGACCAGTGACCACCACCAGATAGAGTGGGAAACCAGGGACCACCACAAGATAGAGTGGGGAACCAGTGACCACAACTAGATAGAGCGGAGATCCAGTGACCACCACTAGATAGAGCGGAGATCCAGTGACCACAACTAGATAGAGGGGAGGACCAGTGACCACCACTAGATAGAAGCTAGGACCAGTGACCTCCTATAGATAGATGCTAGGACCAGTCACCAACACTTGATAAAGAGAATGACGAGTGACCACCACTAGATAGATGCTAGGACGAGTGACCACAACTGGATAGAGAGGAGGACCAGTGACCATCGTTAGATAGATAATAGGGCCTTGACCACCACTCAAAAGAGAGAGGTGGATGAATGACCACAACCAGATAGAGGGGAGGACCAGTGACCAACAATAGATAGATGCTAGGTCCAGTGACCACCACTAGATAGATGATAGTACAAGTGACCACCACTAGATATATTCTAGGACCAGTGACCACCACTAGATAGAGAGGAGGACCAGCGAACACCACTAGATAGAGGGGAGGACCAGTGACTACCACAAGATAGAGGGGAGGACCAGTAACCACCACTAGATAGAGGGGAGGACCAGTAACCACCACTAGATAGAGGGGAGGACCAGTAACCACCACTAGATAGAGATGACGACAAGTGACCACCACTAGATAGAGAGGAGAACCAGTGACCACCACTAGATAGAGAGGAGGACCAGTGGCCCCCACTAGATAGAGCAGAGAACAAGTAACCACCACTAGATAGAGCAGAGAACCAGTGTCTACCACAACATAGAGGGGAGGACTAGTGACCACCACTAGATAGAGCGGAGATCCAGTGACCACCACTAGATAGAGCGGAGATCCAGTGACCACTACTAGATAGAGCGGAGATCCAGTGACCACCAATACATAGAGCGGAGAACCAGTGACCACCACTAGATAGAGAGGAATACCAGTGACCACCAAAAGATAGAGGGGAGGACCATTGAACACCACTAGATGTACCGTAGATCCAGTGACCACCACAAGATAGAGCAGAGATCCAGTGAACATCACTAGATAGTTTGGAAATCCAGTGTCCACCACTAGATGTAGCGGAGATCCAGTGACCACCACTAGATAGAGCGGAGATCCAGTGACCACCAGTAGATAACTTGGAGATCCAGTGACCACCACTAGATAGAGAAGAGATCCTGTGACCACCACTAGATATAGCGGATATCCAGTGACCACCACTAGATAGAGCGTAGATCCAGTGACCACCACTAGATAGAGTGGGGAACCAGTGACCATCACTAGATAGAGTGGAGATCCAGCGACCACCACTAGATAGAGCAGAGATCCTGTGACACCCACTAGATAGAGCGGAGATCCAGCGACCACCACTAGATAGAGCAGAGATCCAGTGACCACCACTAGATAGAACGAAGAATCATTGACCACCACAAAATAGAGGGGAGATCCAGTGACCATCACTAGATAGAGAAGAGGACTAGTGACCACCAGTAGATAGAGCAGCGATCCAGTGACCACCAGTAGATAGAGCGGAGATCGAGTGACCACCACTAGAGAGAGATGAGAAACAGTGAACGTAAAAAGATAGAGGGGAGGACCATTAAATACCACTAAATGAAGCGGAGATCCAGTGACCACCACTAGATAGAGAGGAGGACCAGTGACCACCACTAGATAGAGAGGAGGACCAGTGACCACCACTAAATAGAGCAAACATCCAGTGACCACCACTAGATACAGGGGAGATCCAGTGACATCACTAGATAGAGAGGAGGACTAGTGACCACCGTTAGATAGAGAGGAGATCCAGTGACCACCACTAGAGAGAGCGGAGATCCAGTGACCACCACTAGATAGAGAGGAGATCCAGTGACCACCACTAGATAGAGCGGAGATCCAGTGACCACCACTAGATAGAGAGGAGATCCAGTGACCACCACTAGATAGAGTGGAGATCCTATGACCACCAGTAGATAGAGCAGAGATCCAGTGACCACCAGTAGATAGATTCTAGGACCAGTGACCACCAGTAGATAGAGAGGAGATCCAGTGACCACCACTAGATAGAGGGAAGATCCAGTGACCACCACTAGATAGAGAGAAGATCCTGTGACCACCAGTAGATAGTGCAGAGATCCAGTGACCACCAGTAGATAGATGCTAGGACCAGTTACCACCAGTAGATAGACAGGAGATCCAGTGACCACCACTAGATAGAGGGAAGATCCAGTGACCACCAGTAGAGGTGCTGTACTTCTATTCCCTTCTCTGTTCAGAGAACAATATATTGTTTGCTAACATCCTATGCCAGTGTTGATCCACTGTCACCACGACCTGACCGGTGGATACTCCCGTCCCTCTCTCTATCTTTCCTTACTCTATCTCTGCCTCTCTCCATCCCTCGATTCCCTCCATCCCTAGCTTCCCTCTCTCCAACCACAGCTTCTCCCTCCTCCCCAATCTCTCCTTCACCCCGTAACGGAATGCAATAAATGTCGAGCCATCATTTATTTTAATTCACTCCTCTCCTCCACAGATTAAATGGATCCCTAACCTTGTAGGACAAGGACGTGCATGCCATCTGCGGGCAGGAGCTGAATTATCCTTTCTAGCAGAGAGAGGAGAGACAGAAGAGAGGAGAGGACGAGAGAGGGAGAGAGAGAGACGAGGGAGGAAAGGAGAGATGAGGAAAAGAAGAAGGAGAAAGGAGAGATGAGAGGAAAAGAGAAGAGAGAGAGCGAGAGAAGAGAGCGAGAGAGAGAGAGAAAAAGAGAAGAGGAGAGAGAAGGGAGCGAGGAGACGTGAGAAAGATGAAGAGAGAGAGAATGAGGAGAGCAGGAAGAGAAGTGCGAGGAAGCAGAGAAAGAGAGCGAAGGGAGAGAGAAAGCAAAAGAAGGAGGGGGTCGAGAGAGAGAGGCCCATTCCATGTAAGAAAATAGCGGCTGCAATTACCATCTGGACTCCAATGGAAAACCTGGCTGGAGGTGCGCCTTTAGAACCCATTGTGGACAGGGTTATGAGCTTGAGGTAGGAGCCGATTAGAGGAGAAGGGAGGGAGGGGAGAGTGAATGAGAGGGAGGGAGGGGATGGAGGGATGGAGCTGGGGAGAGGGGGGGGGGGGAGGGAGAAGGAGAGGGGAGATGGAGAGAGGGAGGGTGGAGAGAGGAGGGATGGAAAGGGGGAGGGACTGGAGAGATGGGGGTGGGGATGGGGCTGGAGAGATGGTGGGAGCGGGGAGGATGGAGGGCGGGAAAGGGAAGGAGGGATGGAGGGCTAGGATGGAGAGATGGGAGGGAGGGATGGAGGATGGAGGATGGAGGGATGGAGAGTGGGGGGGGGATGGAGAGGAGGAGATGGAGAGATGGAGGGATGGAGGGATGGAGGAGGGAGGGATGGAGGGATGGCGAGAGGAAGGATGGAGGGGATGGGGATGGGGATGGAGGGGATGGGAAGAGGGTGGAGGGGGGGGAGGCGGATGGAGGGGATGGAGAGAGGAGGGAGGGACTGGAGATGGGGGATGGAGAGGGAGGGATGGAGAGATGGGGGGGTGGAGAGATGAGAGGGAGGGATGGAGGGGAGAGTTGGGGGATGGGGGGGAGGAAAATGGAGGGATGGAGGGATGGAGAGGGAGGGATGGAGGGGAGAGAGAGGAGGGATGGAGGGATGGAGGGGAGGGATGGGAGAGATGGAGGGATGGGAGAGATGGAGGATGGGGTGGAGGGATGGAGGGATGGAGAGAGGAGGGAGTGGAGGGATGGAGAGATGGGGGAGGGAGAGGGGGGTGGAGAGGAGGGAGGGGTGGAGGGATGGGGGATGGAGGGATGGCGGAGGGAGGGAGATGGCGGGGTGGGGATGAGAGATGGAGGGGATGGGGGAGGAGTGGAGGGATGGGGAGGGAGTGGAGAGGGGAGATGGAGGGATGGAGGGAGAGGCGGAGGGGATGGGGAGAGATGGGATGGAGGTAAGGGTGGAGGGATGCAGGATGGAGGGAAAGGAGGGATGGAGAGATGGAGGGTGGAGGAGGGAGGATGGAGAGAGGGATGGAGGATGGATGGGGATGGGGGATGGGTGGAGGATGAGGGATGGAGGGGAGGGGGAGTGGGGAGAGTGGGATGGAGAGATGGAGGGATGGGAGGGGGGATGGGGGAGGGATGGGGGAGATGGAGGGATGAGGATGGAGGGATGGAGAGATGGAGGATGGGAGGGATGGAGAGATGGGGATGGGGCTGGGGGGGTGGAGGGAGGGAGGTGGAGAGTGGGGATGGGAAAAGGAGTGGGGGATGGGAGATGGAGGGTGGGGATGGGAGATGGAGGGATGGAGGGAGGAGGAGATGGAGGGATGGAGATAGGAGGGAGGGAGGGGAGAGATGGAGGGATGGAGGGATGGAGGGATGGAGGGGAGAGAGATGGGGAGAGATGGAGGGATGGGGGTGGAGGGATGGAGGGAGGGAGGTGGAGGGTGGCGAGGAGGGTGGGAGGAGATGGAGGGATGGAGGGATGGGGGAGGAGAGATGGGGAGAGGGGAGGGGATGGAGCGATGGAGGAGGGAGGGAGGAGGAGGGGAGGATGGAGGATGGGGGGAGGGGAGGGATGGAGGGGGGAGGGGAGGGATGGAGGATGGAGGGATGGGGATGGAGGGTGGGGGGGATGGAGAGATGGAGGATGGGGAGGGAGGAGGGGATGGAGGGATGGGAGCGGTGGAGGGTGGAGGGATGGGGGGGAGGAGGGATGGAGAGTGGAGAGTGGGGGTGGTGGTGGGATAGGAGATGGAGTAGAGATTTTTTAATAGGAGGGTTGATGGGAGTTGGGGGATGGGGAATGGAGGGGGGAAAAAATGGTATGAAAAAATGGAAGAAATGGGAAGAGGGAGGATGGAAGGGTTTGGGAAGAGGGAGAGGGACTGGAGAGAGAGTGGAAAGGGGATGAAAGAGGGGAGGGGAGGGTAGAGGGAGAGGGACTGAGAGAGATTGGAAGGTTTGGGGGAGAAGGAGTAATATGGTGGAGAAATTTGGGGGGATAGGGGGAGAACCCAAGGTGGAGAACCCCCGGAGATAAGTGGCAGTATTAAGATGGAGAATAGGGTGGAGAAGGTGGAAGGATTTTATGGAGTACCCTATCTAGTCAGGGACCTTAATTATGGAGTATTTCAGTGGAGACCTTCCTAGTGGAGTGACCCATTTCTGGGTACCCTTTTGGAGTATCAATGCCACTAGGGGTAGATGGTATGCAGATGAGGGTAGAGGTACTGCCAGAGGGTGGGGAGGGTATGCCACAGAGTAGAAAGGTACTGCCAAATAGAGGTAGAGGGTACTGCACCAGGGGTAGAGGTATGCACAGAGGGTAGAGGGTACGCCAGTAGAGGGAAGGGCCACGGGGTTAGAAGGGTACTGCCGAGAGGGGGTAGAGGGAGTATGCACCGAGGGAGAGGGTACTGAGAGAGTGATCTGGGTGGGGGTACTCATGAGGTATGAGGGACTCACCATTTGATGTTTTCTCCAATAATGAGGGTTACTCATTGAGGGAAGGGGGTTACTGAAGGTAGCGGGTAGAGGGTAATCCAAGGTAGAGACTCCCCGAGTTAATACGCCCATAGGGTCTCATAGGGTCTTTCAGCCAAAGGGAGGGTAGGGGTACTGCCAGTAGAGGGTAGAGGGTACTGCCACCAGAGGGTTAGAGGGTACTGCCACTAGAGGGTAGAGGGTACTGCCAGTAGAGGGTTTAGAGGTACTGCCACCAGAGGGTAGAGGGTACTGCCAGTAGAGGGTAGAGGGTACTGCCACCAGAGGGTAGAGGGTACTGCCAGTAGAGGGTAGAGGGTACTGCCAGTAGAGGGTAGAGGGTACTGCCACCAGAGGGTAGAGGGTACTGCCAGAGGAGGGTAGAGGGTACTGCCACCAGAGGGTAGAGGGTACTGCCACTAGAGGGTAGAGGGTAGTGTCTGTAGAGGGTAGAGGGTACTGCCAGCAGAGGGTAGAGGGTACTGCCACAGGAGGGTAGAGGGTACTGCCACAGAGGGTAGAGGGTACTGCCACCAGAGGGTAGAGGGTACGTGCCAGTAGAGGGTAGAGGGTACTGCCACAGAGGGTAGAGAGGGTACTGCCGAGAGGGTAGAGGGTACTGCCACCAGAGGGTAGAGGGTTACTGCCACCAGAGGGTAGAGGGTACTGCCAGTAGAGGTAGAGGGTACTGCCAGTAGGGGTAGAGGGTACTGCACCAGAGGGTAGAGGGTACTGCCACCAGAGGGTAGAGGGTACTGCCACCAGAGGGTAGAGGGTACTGCCACTAGAGGGTAGAGGGTACTGCCAGTAGAGGGTAGAGGGTACTGCCACCAGAGGGTAGAGGGTACTGCCAGTAGAGGGTAGAGGGTACTGCCACCAGAGGGTAGAGGGTACTGCCACCAGAGGGTAGAGGGTACTGCCAGTAGAGGGTAGAGGGTACTGCCAGCAGAGGGTAGAGGGTACTGCCACCAGAGGGTAGAGGGTACTGCCACTAGAGGGTAGAGGGTACTGCCACTAGAGGGTAGAGGGTACTGCCAGTAGAGGGTAGAGGGTACTGCCAGTAGAGGGTAGAGGGTACTGCCACCAGGGTAGGGGTATGCCAGTAGGGGTACTGCCATAGAGGGTAGAGGGTACTGCCAGTAGAGGGTAGAGGGTACTGCCACCAGAGGGTAGAGGGTACTGCCATAGAGGGTAGAGGGTACTGCCACCAGAGGGTAGAGGGTAACTGCCAGAGGTAGAGGGTACTGCCAGTAGAGGGTAGAGGGTACTGCCCAAGGTAGAGGGTCTCAAGAGGGTAGAGGGTACTGCCACCAGAGGGTAGAGGGTACTGCAGTAGAGGGTAGAGGGTACTGCCGTAGAGGGTAGAGGGTACTGCCACTAGAGGGTGAGGTAGGTCAGAGGGGTAGGGTACTGCCAGTAGAGGGTAGAGGGTACTGCCACCAGAGGGTAGAGGTACTGCACCGTAGAGGGTAGAGGGTACTGCCACCAGAGGGTAGAGGGTAGTGTCAGTAGAGGGTAGAGGGTACTGTCCAGTAGAGGGTAGAGGGTACTGCCACTAGAGGGTAGAGGGTAGTGCCAGTATAGAGGGTAGAGGGTACTGCCAGTAGAGGGTAGAGGGTATGCCCAGAGGGTAGAAGGGTGGTACTGCCAACCAGAGGGTAGAGGGTACTGCACCAGAGGGTAGAGGGTAGTGTCAGTAGAGGGTAGAGGGTACTGTCAGTAGAGGGTAGAGGGTACTGCCACCAGAGGGTAGAGGGTACTGCCACTAGAGGGTAGAGGGTACTGCCAGTTAGAGGGTAGAGGGTACTGCCACCAGAGGGTAGAGGGTTACTGCCAGTAGTAGGGGTAGAGGGTACTGCCACCAGGAGGGTAGAGGGTACTGCCACCAGAGAGGGTAGAGGGTACTGCCACCAGAGGGTAGAGGGTATGCTGTCAGTAGAGGGTAGAGGAGGTACTGCAGTAGAGGGTAGAGGGTACTGCACTACAGAGGGTAGAGGGTACTGCCACTAGAGGGTAGAGGGTACTGCCAGTAGAGGGTAGAGGGTACTGCCACAGAGGGTTAGAGGGTTACTGCCACCAGAGGGTTAGAGGGTACTGCCAACAGAGGGTA